TTTTTTTTTTTTTTTTTTTTTAATTTACAACACAAACATTTACATCAAAATATAATCATGCGTCAGTTCGATTTTCATCTTGCATGTTTACGTTATTTTATTAAACGGTTTAAAGATGGAAATGGCTAACACCCAGACTGGTTTGCGAATGGGAATTTTTTCCCGATACCAGTTCGGCATTTTATGAACATTGATGAACAGACAAGTTTACATTATTAGTCTCCAATAATGACCTAATGATTAGTAAAAGTAAATTCTACTGAAATATATTGCTCAAAGATTTGTTACGTTTCAGTTCACTTTATCATTCCGTTGCCTTCCTAAAATAATAGCCTGTCATTTTTTTCATAAGTGAATTTGGGGGTGGGGGAGACAAGAAACAACTGTTTTGATTGCCCTAAAATGATTTGAGCTATTAATTTATGGAGGAGACGGTTTCTAATTTTTGGTTGACAGATGGTGCTTTCGTGGTCTTCATCTGTAATAGTGAACACGCTTCAGAGTATGTGTGCTCTGGTCGCTTATTGAGTCGCTCATCTTCAGTTTCGGTTCTTTATTTTTCTCTTGTTCACTTCTTACCTGGGTCTATGACCATCGTAAATTATAATGGAAACTTAAAATGTTCGGAGGAATTTTAGTTTTCCAGATGAAGGATTAGGACCATGAATGGACCACCTCTTAACCAATCAAAGCCCTGAAAAAACAACAGCGAAGGTAGTTTTCTTTACTGTCATTTGGCTAATAGGAAAATCTTCATGAGTTAACCCTCCTTAAATTAACACTTATTAGCTCAGTTTGTTCAGTCGGAAGCTAACTGAAACCGTGTATCAGATATCGTATCTTCATTTATCATGGGCATAGAGCGCAACATGGTCTCCAAGCTTCGTTACATGACAAAGATGGCAATGAGTAAATGGTCTTCACTGAGCTGAAAAATCGTCATAATTAAATTTTAGCAGAATAACTACATCATAGATTAGCGGATGTTACTTCCGTTTTTTAGATTGGATTATTCCTGTAGCTAGGCTTGCGTTATAAATCACATCATTTAGCTTTATGTGCGAGTCCCTACGATGCCACCTACTGACCAGCCACTGTAAATGCAAAATGTCACTACACCCACATAATCTAGAAATGCCGAGAGAATATATTGCTACTAAAATAAAATAGATAGTTGCTGTTAAGTTCTGATTTTATATTGGGAGGCGAGGGCCAAAAAATCATTGCCCACTATGAGAGAGATTATGTATCGTGAATTTTAGTATTTGATCATACTAAAATCAGACTTAACTGTAAACTTTGTGATCTTCATCACAAAATACCTGCCTGCAGTAATAAAACGTCAGAATGTGCAACAAATCCACAACACACACTCCTTTATTCAGTGTAAATAGTTTATTATACATCTTGAAAATCTCATATCACCTATTCTTAAAAAAAGGGGGTTATTTAGAACCGAGACCTGTCTACAATACATTTGTAGTGAGAGGAGAAAATGCCAGTAATACCCAGTTGCACGCAGTGAAGCTGAGAGAAAAACAAGCAGAATAGCACTGTCTTTAACAGGACGCAGTATCGCTCCGTCAGTTCATTACAGGCCAACTAATTGTTTTAATGGATAGTGTGGCCATTCAGCTGAAATGTGTTAATGCTTTTATATCAGATCAGTTAGCAGTGATGCACCTGCGACCCAAACAAACTCAACGATCCTGTGCCTTCTGTGCAACAGTGAAATATTCTGATTAAAATATACTATTGTGGATTTATGCCTGCATTTGGCTTATTTAAATACACAAAAACTGAAAAAAAAAATCTATAAGTTAAAATAACATTCAAAGTTGTATAGCACAAGGCAAAGAATACTTGTTTTAACAATATGTACATTATTAACCATCTGACAAAGTAAGTTAAAAAAAAAAAAGAAATTGTAGAAAAATATCTGTACAGGAAACTTTTGTGTGGTCATGCCTTTAATGACGAACACACGATATGAAAAGCTTCAATGGTTTGTTTCAGTGGTTAAATACTATACATTAAAAATACAGTAAAGTGAGAAGACAGTAGCAACTTATTGTTCAGTTGTATCAAGTTTTATTAAAGTCATTGTGTGGGGTAGTTTAAGAACATGGTAGGAAATGAGTGATGTTGCTTTATATGCTCGTTTAGTTCTCTTAAGGTGTTCCCAAAACCACAGAAAAGGCTGTTGATTAAAAACTAAAGCAAATATTTTAAATTGAAGTTAAAGTAGGAACGCTTTTCAGTTAAAAACTACAAAATCCGATTATTTTTCATTGAATATGCCAGCAAATATGCAGTGTCTTGCAAAAGTGTTTGTATCCCAATTCTGACACGTTATTTGGATTTTAAACGATAGATCAACACAAATTAGTGGTCAATTGTGAAATAAAAAAAAAAACTATGCATAGTTTTTAGATTTTGTGTGTGTGTATATATATATATATATATATATATATATATATATATATATATATATATATATATAAGATATACTTTATTGATCCCCAAGGGGAAATTGCTTATTTGTTGAAAGCTACTCCAACTTAGGTAATAAATACAAAGTTTGTGACTTTATATATATATAAACTTTGTATTTATTACCTAAGTTGGAGTAGGAGTAGCTTTCAACAAATAAGCAATTTCCCCTTGGGGATCAATAAAGTATATCTTATTCTATAAAAATTGTGGTGGAAAACCAAAACCCTGAACTCTGTCCCCAGTCTGACACATGGTAGTGGCAGCATTATTGTGTGGGATGCTTTTCTTAAGCAGGGACCGTCTAAAAATTGACACGTTGCACTGCTTGAGACATGCTTCAAAAGACTTGCTGCTAAAGTTAGCTCTACAAAGAATTTGCCTGAGGCACATGAGAGCAAATGCATGCCACACTTTTGAGATTTTTACGTCAAATTCTTTCTAAAGCCATGCTTCAGTGTCCTTCGACTATACACCACTTTGTGTTGATCTAGAACATAAATTCCAAGTAAAAACAAAAAGTTTAAGCAGTACAAATACTTTTGCCAGGCGCTGTAGAAAGTACGTAGATGTCTGCAATAAATACAGTTCACATTAGAGTGGTCTATTTTTTTTCCAACATATTTTTTCTTTTTTTTTTTTTAAACATATTTTAGTAAAAAATATAGTCTTAAATACATTTTGCTCACTTTCCTCATGCCAGCTCACCCCGATTTATTAAAAGAAGAATGAGATGATTAAAAAGAGGTTTGTGGGGAATGAACGAGAGCACCGGAATGTGTCAAAAGTTAAGAAACAGAGGAAAGGGGCAAAAAACCTCCAGTACATTCTAAGGTAGCTTTTCCAGGATAACTCTTTCACATGGCTCCTAAGGCCACTGCATGTCCAGTTTTATATCTTATCAACATTAAAGCCAACTCAAGTTGTATTGCTTATGGGTACCGGGGGGAGTTTGTGGGGATAATTAAAACATTCACACAGAAGATAAAAAAAAGATCACAAAACAAAAAAGTTCAGGCACTTGGCTTGATTTCTACGCTAAATTCGGTCCCAAACACGTCTCAGTCCTTCATTGTTTGACATTAGCACATGTATAGTCCTCCCGTTGTTTGCTACAAAACACCCGATATCCTTCGTTCTGCATCGGACTTTCCGTCCCACCGTCCATCCACGTTCCTCTCCTGCACATCCTCTGTTTCCCCTCGTCACATGACCACTTCTCCATTGTTCACCGGCCGCAGGTTCTGATCGTCGTAGCGCCTCCTGACGCTCCTCCGCACGGCGTCCGCTCGCCTGTAAGGCTGATTCCTCAAATCTGGCGGAATCAGCGGGGGAAGGGACGGGACAGGAGAGCTTTAAGTCAGGGTGTCATGTCAATGTTTGGATCTGTCATGAGCCCACATGTTCAGGAGTGCTGGTAGCCTAACTTTTCAAAGCAGCATGAGATCTAAGCACACAGAATAAAACAAGTCTGGCTGAGATGGGTTTTTAATAAAGCTCTGCATGAATCCAGAAACTTTTCATACATCTTGTAAATCCAAGATGCATATATTTTTTAATAAAAAGATTGAAGAAACTACTAAAGAAAGCAAGACTTCTTATATTCAGGCTAAACAGATGGAAAAGACGAACCTAAACAAACAAAAAAATAATATGAAGCAGGAAGGGAGGTAATAAAGAAATGCTTGCCAGGTTCGGGACACATCCACCACTACAGGGGTGCTACTGGAGGACTTCCTTACCCTCAAGTAGACATTTGGAAATTTAGTAATATTATTCTTCTTTAGTTCTGGATGAAGAAAAGACAAAATGAAGGTTAAAAATAAAAGGAAGACGAGGGCTGACTGGTGCATGTCAGCTCGACATGTTCACTTTGGCTTTGCAAACCGCTAGAACAAAGCAGAGAGGCTGCAGGAGGAGAGGCTCAGAGAGGACAGTGCTGGGGCATGTTAACTGGTTGATGGAAGCTCGTTTCATTTCTGTTACTAGACCCAAACTGCTTTAGCAAAGTGGCTACCAGCGAAAAAGGAGACAAGCCCATTTCAAACTTCCAGTTAGGAGCGACTGTAAACAATAAAGAATGGATAAAAACAAACAGGCCAGTTGTTATATTCAGCAGACCCATCACCGCAAACCAACCAAAGCATGCACGCAGCCAAGCACGCACTCACTAACAGCACAGAAAATGGTTCCAGGAGAGTTAGTGCACACGGTTTTACCGAGACAGCATGCAGGATATACAGCGTCTGGTCTCTGTTGTGTGTCTTTCCATCCAAATGTATCCAACATTTTCTCATTACAACCACAAACTTTATTATATTGGGATTTTTTGCAATAAACCAGCAAAAAGTGGTGAAGTGGGTCTTTTTATGGTTATTGGAGTATAGAGGACTGACTATATATGCACATCACACATTTCAGGCTTTACTTATAAAGAAAAATTAAATTAAATCTGTTATTTTTATTCCACTTCAAAATTGTACTCTACTTAGTGCAAGTCTATCCCATGAAATCCCTCCAGAGTACATTCAAGTTTGTGGTTGTAATGTAAAAAAGTACACTTGAATGAAATGAATTAAAAGTACTTTTGCAAGGCACAGCAAGAGCACAGAAACTTCCTGACTGAAGAGTGACCGGTCAGGAGCAAGCGCATTCTAACTACAAGAGCAAGAGTGCATTGTGGGAAAGCAGCAAGGTTAAAGCAAACAGCATGCAACAAACCGTGTAAACAGTGATGATGACATGTGATAAATGAACACACACAATGATTTTACCATTAAAAACATTGGAACACACAAACGAGCAAGTGATAATGCCACAGGCACGTATACATCATAGCATTAGTCATACCTGAGGTGTACATATACTGTATGTAGTACTGAATATGACAAACTGAGCCGCAACATGCGAGCCATGTTAGATGGATGGCCACCAGATGGCAGCACACTGCCTGACCTGAGTGACGCTAACTGAGGGGAAAAGTTCACTCCTTGGGATGCTGATCTCTCTGTGACATTATGGTTTGCTGTGGTGGGTAACATGATGATGAAAAATACTGACGTCACGCTTCATGCAGGTGGGCCGAGAAGAACCAGCTCCCAAAACACACCGTCATGCTTAGATAAGAAAATCTACACAACACACACTCAAACTTCAGCGAGTGTGTGTGCGTGTGTGTGACCCTGGGAAACCACATTGTCCACAGTGTGGGAGTGTAAACGGTTAAGAGGGGGTCGGTGGGAGTGAAGAGGCATGCAAGGAGGGGAAGAACATAAAGAAGAAACGTTTTGTTCCAGCAACCTTTAAGAAGAGACAGAGATCTACAAGCTTTAGTAATGGTACTCCTCATTGAGAGCAGGCTCGCAGAAGAACCGAGACCCGCGCTTGGCTGTGCGGGCGGTAAAGGGCACGGTCTTCAGCACTGCATTGAGACAACAGGGAGAATAGCCAGGACACAAATCAGGACAAACACGGCATGAGAAAAGCAGGTCTTCTCTACTGGGTTTAGCAACGGCTAGCACTAAAGCAAGAACCCATCTACAGCAACAGGAACCCTGGAGAAATGAGTCTGGAAGCCAACTCTACAACCCCCATTTTTATTTTGCTAATTATCTTAAACTGCACAGTCTCGTGCAAAAGTAGGCAAATTTTGTTGTAATCTTTTAATGTGGTCTTGTTTAACAGTTCTCCAGACCTGATGAATATTTTAAAGTTCTCAGAGTTTGGCTGTCTTTAAACTTGATTTTAGTTCAGTGACTAACCATTTCCATTTGCACTGAGCCAGTTCTGGTTCTGCTGGAGGTTTCTTTCTGCTAAGGGGAAGTTTTTTCTTTTTTCCTCCTTTATGCTGTTGCTACATGCATTCTCATTATGAGAGATTGCTGCATAGTCAACAATGCAAATGTCCAATATTGTATAGCAACAGGAGTGAATTCTGCAAATCAATGACTTGATGCAATTTGGTGGGTTCCTTTAAATAGCAAACTTAAAATTTTAATAAAGAACTGAACTTGACTGCTCTGTCTGATAAGATTAAATTGGGATGTATGTAAATTACTTTACTTTAGAGTGCCTTGGGACAATATTTGTTATGAATTAGAACTGAATAGATAAACTGAAGGGAACTGAACCAATGTTTGTAAAAATAAAAAAAAGTACTACGCTAATTTTACAAACGTACATAAAAGTGGCTTTTTTCATATTCAAATGCTGCATTTTTTAGCCCAGTTGGGAGTATCTTCTGTCATCCCTTGACAGAATGATGTCCTGGGCAACAACCAGATCCAAAACCTCTCAGTGGTCCAAGGAAAAACCTTAAAGAACCGTTAGAAAGCCTGGAGACATATTGATCAGGATCACATTAAAGGATCACAAGGTCTGACCCCTTGAATCAAGATACATTGAAATTTGGGATTGCCGTTTAAAACTTCTGCACTTCTGCTGTGAAATCACTAAATGGGCACAAGAATACACTAAAAGAAACTGAACATTGTGAAAGTTTAACATGGAAATGGAAATGGACATTCCCATAATGTTTTCAATGGGAACTGAAAACATTTCCCACTGAAACAGCTGAAGCAACAAAGTTTTATTTTGAAAAGTGGAATGTGTTCCTGTGTGTGGTGCATTAGGTGTTTTAGCTGTATTATTATTTGGATACTTTTTGCATAAAAATGTTTGCATATAGACTAGTTAATCTATAAAAACTAATCTGCTCTAGTATGGATGCAGAAAATAGAACTGCACTCGACCCATTCCTCTTTAGAGAAGAACAATAGTTACACTAAACTGTTGGAAAATCCAAAACATTTCAGGATATTCATTTTTATCCATGATTTTTTTTTCTTTTTTGTCAACATGTTTACATTTAGAACTTAAGCGACAAACTGTGATAAGTAAATTATTTTTGGAAAAGCCTAATAGCTCATATGTTGCAATAGTACTTTAAATTGCCAAATTTGTTAAAAGGGCCTGGTTATATATAAATGCGTTAAATTTAAAAACAAATTGATATATATAAAAACATTTTTAGAATATGTGTTCTTTGTTCATATCCTTGCATTGTTTTTTTCTTCCCGTCTTCAATTGAAGTGGAATTGCATCAAAGATCGTCTTGGCCTGAATCCATTTTGGTTGTCAAATAATGTCATTGTGTTCATCTTGCCATTTTATTCTTATTAGATGCACAGATCTGAGATGTTGTGACAGATGTATTTTGTGGAACGCAGATCTGCCAGTTTTAGATACATAAAATTTCTCTTGAAAACTAACACAGGATTCAGTACACTTTTCTTTTCCTTTTCTCAAATAAAAATGATTTTCTCATAACAAATGTACACAGTTGAGGACTGTCACTCTCTGCATCCTTGAAACTCTATAATGGCAACAAAAATGCTTCAAGTTATGGTGACAGCAAAACGAATTGGTCGTCTCCAATCTCTGGCTGACTGACTGATGCATCTCTAGTCATCAGAAAAAAACATCAATCATTAATAGGAGCCAAATTAGATGCAAAAGTGCTGTTTGTTCCCTTTGAGATATAATACAGAAGCAATGTAAAGCAGCAAATAATTGTTCTTCACACTTCTCCACAGGAAGTTTAATCTCCCCTTGTTATGAAAGTAAACTAAAATTATTGTCTCGATTTGACTGACATCCAGAGAGACGGTCATACCCTCATCCTGCACACGCACAGTACAGATGGTGTTATAAAGCAAAAGTGAAGAAGTTAAGATAAGTCATTATTATCAGGCACCTTTCGGTCGAGAAGCACTGAACCAGCTGCCTCATTTGGCCACAAAAAGAGCTGAAATCATCGTGTTAGTTGGCTTAGAAATCCTTTGTTTCAAGCTGAGGTGACCCTTCATGCAGAGCATTAAGCATGTGTGATTGACTGCAGACTGTAGCCTGGATCCGGTGATGTTACCCGTGATGATGTCCTCGATGGCGCCGTCTTTGCCCTCGTAGACATGCCGGCTGTCCTTCACCTGCTTCCTCCTGAGCTCCTGGATCAGCTCCTGCTGCTGCCGCTTGCTTTTACGGGAGGGAGACTGCGGGAACACGCACACAACAAGGTTGCACCACCAACGAGCTTCTTCTCCCACATCACATCCCTTCATCATGCAAGTTAATTGAACAGTCACTAATCCTGACTGATGTTCCTCAGCAGGGATTCTCCTCTTGGAGCTAAATACAACCGTGCCCAGCAGGTGGTCTGCGCTCGACTAATCCTCCAGACGGGAATATGGAGGAAGTGGACCTGGATTTCCCTTCTGGTCATTGTGATCCTAAGGGGGAGGAAGCAAAGGAGTTCAGAGAAAGATTAACTCACCTTCTGGTCTTCCTCCATCATAGCCTCCTGTTCTAGAAGTTTCTCCATCATGAGCTGCTCCTGCCGCTTCTTCTGCTCATTGTCCTCCTCCGCTTGCTGAGAAGCCACCGATTAAAAAAAAAAAAAAAACATTTACAAATTCACATCTTACTCTGGGTATTTTAGATTTAATCAGTGCGGGAAGATCATTAACACAGCATTTCTAAAAGCTTTCTGTTTCATCCAGTATTTTAATGATCAGCAGAAATCAGCATTTTCTAAATTAAGTTCATTTTAAGCTCTCCAGGGGGCGCAATTGACCTTTTCTCAGATGCTGTACATTTTTATTTGCAAAATAGTTCCAGCTCAAATTAACCTTATGTTTCTTTATTATTTTTTTTTTTGAAGAGTTTTAAGTTTTGCAAAAGTATTCATTCAAAACATAGCTCTTCTTGAAACTTCAACAAAGCTTTATCTCTGACAGGTCTGCCATATTTTCTGTCTTCATGACCTTCTTTGTTGACTAAAATGTTTTTTTTTCCACCGACAAACACCTCAGTATTCACAGAACTGCTAGCTTTTGTACTGACATTAATTAACACACTGCTGGACTCCGTTTACCAATTATTTGACTTCTGGAGTCGATTTTTTTTCAGTTGTCAGAATAAAAGGGGTTGAACAGAAATACACACATTTTTTGATTTCATTGGTGAAAACCGTGTATCCCTTTTCCTTCACCACACAAATTTGTTTTACTATTAGATAAAACCACTGAAGTTTCCAACCAACTCACCCTGTAGGCTTTCACAAATCGCACAAACACCGGGAAGAAAACAGACGGCGGCGTTGTCTTAGAGTTCTCTCCAAAGAACTTCACAGCCTCATCAAAGGCATCCTTTTTTTTTTTTGAAGATGGGGAAACAAAATGCAGCTTCAGCGATTAAATATTCAGTCACTGAGAGAAAGGTTTTTCTCCGTTATTCAGCGTTACCTGTGCAATTTTGGCATCATCCTGCAACTTTTTCAGCTTGCTCTCGTTGTGTGTGATGAAGTCTTTCAGCATGGTGTTGTGACCGTGCATGCTGTACTCTCTCCTGGTCAGCTCCATGCCTCTATGCAGCTCCTTAACGTCCAGCAGGACATTCTCCAGCGACACTGTGAGCACACGGGGAACATTACGCCACAGGATCGCACAAAACATGGAAATGTTTGGTTAACGGATAAAAATTTACACCCACCTGCTGCTGCCTTTTCAACATAGTGCAACTCGTTGTGGAACAGAGACACTTGTGGGTATTTCTCTTTGACCACGTTGGCGATGTAGTGCAGCAAGGTCATTTTCCGGTCCGTTGACTTCGTATCAAGAAGCTGAGGGGAGGGGAAAAAATAGAAATATTATGTTTTAACAAAAGAAAAAGTGAGGACGTGTAACTTTAACAGTCTTCAAAAGCAGCTTACCAAATCTAAACTCTGCAGCTTGAATCCATACACTGCTCCTCTTTTGCTGCTGTTCATGTAGTTTCCAAGTGCCAAAATAATCTGCAGCGTAGGTAAACAGGGATCACAAAACTAAATCCTCCATGTGCAGGACAGCACACTCTGCTAATACAAAATATCTCCAGTTACCTCTAAAATCTTCTTCAACTTCTGAGACGACTTGATGGACACAGACGCCGCAATGACGGCATGAAGTTGCTGCAGACAAGCAAAGTTTGACGCATCAATTTCACGACTCGGCAGCAAACGACAAATATCGAGTGGGAGACTCTCTTAATCACCGGCGTGAGCATCTGCACGCTTTCGCTGAAGTTTCCGATGAAGGCCATGATGGTCATCTTCTGCATGAGCCGCTCGATCTTGCTGAACTGCATCATGAAGCGGTCCTCGTCGGTCAGGCTCTCCAGAGGCTTGCGCTCCTTCTCGAACTGCCGCAGGATTTTGACCTCGTTCTCGGTGGGCTGGAAGCGCATCAGGCACTCCACAAAATCCACTGGCAGAGTCCGCAGGTCGAATCTGAAAGAGATACAGGGGGGGATGGGGGGTGGAGATGAGGACCACGTCCAACAGAGGCACGAGGTAAAGAATGGGACTTCACTTTGGTAAAATGTAGCACATCTTCACTTTAATCTAGACATTTTGTTTTATATCTGATTTCCAACTCTTAGTTTGTAACTTACTATTTATATTTTCTCCGTTTCATCTCTGATTTGAATTTGTCATCTTGTAATGATGTCATTTCTTTTTGCTTTTTTTATTTTAATCTTAAAATGACCTGCATTGGCAAAAATATGTTTTTTATGATGAAAAAGTTACTCTGTACCCAAGTAGCCTTTTTTTTTTAACCAAATATATCTTTACCCTACTACAAGAACAACTACTTTTCACTTGCGTTAGAAATATATTGAAGTCATTTTGAACTGAATGACGGATTAACTGTGGAATTCCAAACATTTCCTTTTTTTCCCATACTTCTTTTGAAAGAAGAATGGATTTTTCCAAGACTGCACATGAACCCTTTTATATGCTTTGTTATTTCACAGATACTGTTTCTAAATCAGATAGATGCAAAATAAACAAGCAAATGTCGGAGGCTTACAGCTGAATGGCCTTGCAGATCTCCTCGGTCGTCTTGCCCACTTTCCTCAGCGTGATAGCCAGGTTCTTTGCCCTGTTGGAGTCCAGCAGGGCCACCTTGTTGGGTCCCTTGTGAGTGACCTTCTGCTTGTTCGTGGTGAGGTCGATGGATGGGCCCTGAGCTTTAGTCTTAAACATCTCCTCAAACTCATCAACATTCAGGTCCTAAAAGACACCAGAGGTTTTATTTATTTATTTATTTTATTAGGATAGGAAGCAGGTCGAAACAGAGACCCTGTTCTGAGTGCGGGCCTTTACCTCGAGTATCCTCTCGTCGTCGATCTCGTTGAAGACGGTCCCGTTGATCTGATTTGGTTTCAGGGCGACCCAGTTGAAGACAGGCATGCGGAACTTTGTCTTGATGGGTTTCTTGATCTTAACAGCTAAATGACACAAATGGAAATTAAAAATATGTGTTGATCGACTGTAAGGGTCCATAAGAAAGTAGCCACGCACATGCAGGAGACGGGGGGTGGGGGGGATCTGTAACAAGAAACATCTGATTTCTGAAAACATTCATTTTGAACACTTCAAATGTTTTAGCAGAGAACACAGATGTCCATCGATTAAAACAGGATGGTTTCCTTCTTCTCTTTATTCAAGCTGAGCCTCCTGGCAGAGGAACATGGCCAAAGGCTATATCTGTTCACTAAATTGTGCATATGGTCCAGGATTACTCGCCAGGCCTGGGGTCAAACTATTTGCTGTGCAGATTAAAGCTATTTGTAGCGACAAGAGCTGCTCCATTGAACCTGAACGTTGAGGCGGCGTCCTGCATCGCCGTGCCGACAAGGTGTCAGCAGCGACGCGGCGAGAGATAAGGCCATCATGGGAAAGGCAAACAGCATTCCAGCTACACACGATTCCCATCAACTTAACCATCTGCGTGCCACAGCAGCTCAATGAGTATCGGCATGCAACAAACTTGTTTTTAAGATTGTGACACGTCATTCATACAAAACGTCAGACGGTCAAAGTACTACAGTCAAGAGTGAAGCAAAACCATTCACAAGTTTTGAATGTGGTATTTTCTTTTTTTTTTTAAAGGGTTCACAGCGGATCTTCCAGGCATCTGGACTCACTGTTTACAGTCAGGAGTACCTAACATTTTTCTCAGGTGCATCAGCACAAAAGTTACTGCTGCATTTAACGTAGCAGTTTTACAGGTTCGCTTTGTGATTTTGTGCTTAATCACTGCCCATTAGGGCAATATTAACTTGTAAATCATTAATTAACAATCTAGTAAACAAAGTTCTTTACTTGAAGTGAAATTGGCATCTTCTTAGAAAACTGTCAAGTGTGCTGGTGAGCTGAAATTTTAATTTAAAAACATCTCAAAAACAAAAAACAGATGCATGAAAGCATGAAATAAAAAATTTCTAAACACCTTCTGAACATCTCAAAGCGAACATTTCATTATGTGCTCTATCAGCATTTCAGTTGGAAATATTTTGTACAAGAGCCAATCACTACTGACCACTTACCAGACATGGCCTTCCTAAACCTTTCCCAGTAAAATGCATTTTTTTTTTATTATTATCAGTTTTAATGTATCTTAACAAGGAAAACTGGTCAAGCCACTGTCTTCAAAATCTATACACTTTTGTCTTAATCTTATGCCATCTTCAGACTTGACATAACCTTGAGGTTGATGGCTCCAAGTTGCAGAACTGGTAATGAGTTTCTGACGGCTCAGAACTCAACTAGTCTATATTTTCTCTGCTCATCCTGCTACATCCACTGAGTTTATCTGCGACTGGTTGAACTGGCGCGGCCTTAATTTCTATTTATTTTTTTTTAGTTGTACCACTGAGAAATGTGGTTGCACTCTAGAGCCCTACATCATGATGTGAAGCATCTTGTGAAGATGCCCATATGTTATGTTATTACAACCACAAACTATTTGTATTTCATCGAGCAGCTGGAAGGGAAATTAAGCATTTTTTTTTTTCAGTTTTTTTGTCTTCTCAAATAAAAACTTGTGTGAGCTATACATTTGTCCACAACACTTCAGAGACGGTACTTTGTACAACCACCTCTTGCTGAAATTACAGCTAAAAGTAATTTCAACAGGGGTGTCTCTACCTGTCTGATACCACATTTAAAACCAATGAGAAACTACCACGGGGGGGGGGGGAAATACGTGTATGACATGGTTAAGGGGTGTGGAGGGAAAACACGACATTGAATTCGACAGCAAGAACCTACAGAAAAGCTTGATGGGTCCCTCTGGTTGGCGGGGAAGGAAAACAATTCAGAGACAGGTTAGCATAACGGCCGGGAACAGTGGCAATGTTTACATGAGCGTCATTAAGCTAAGGCAAGAGTTTTCAATTCGTAGGTTTCAGTTTTCACAGGCCAACAAAGTCAGCTTACTCGTACACATGTACATGTACATACAGATCTTACAGGCTTATCTGCATACCGAGTTCATCCAAAGTGTTATCTTTATTTAACCTGAACACACCTGAAGCTGTGAACGTGGGACGCACCATTAAAAAAAAAAAAAAAAACCCTAAAAGAAATGAGACATCTAACTCAAGACTTAACAGTTCAGAGAGGGGATAACTTAGGAGATCGAACCAAATGTTTTCATGTTTTCATTTAATCTTTCATTTAAAAGTCCAACAAAGCTCATGAATCTTACATTCCTGTTAATTTAGTTGAGAAATATGTTTTTGCTATATTGATATGAAAACCAAAGGATAAATTAACCTCACCTGCCAATCCTGAATTCATGATCACAGTGGGCGTCCCACATCCGGGAAGCGGGGGCGCCATAGGTGGAGGTGGAGGAGGCAGAGGGGCAGAAGTCTCTGACGGGAGGCCGGGGGGCGGCGGTGGCGGTGGAGGGGGTGGCGGCGGTGGGGGTGGGGCAGCTGCAGTGGGAATTTCCATCGATGGTCCATTTGGCACTGGGAGAGACAACGAGAGATTAATATGAACCATTTGTTTTCCTCAAACATTTTAAGGACGAAAATGACTTTTCTGAACCACTTTTTACTCATTTGGGTTTTCAATATTTGAGGCACGCAACTGATCTGTTTATAAACCTACATTGCCCGTTGACTGGCAGCGGAGGAGGTGGAGGAGGGGGAGCAGGTACAGCAGACATGCCTCCTGCGACTCCTGCAGCCGTCCCGTTTGCCCCCACCATGGCACCCGGCAGACCCTCCATCCCGGGCAGCGAAGAAGGCAGGATTGAGATGTCTCCATCTCCCTTTTTCTGGATCCGGATGGTCCCCTGCTTTTCCAGCTCGTGGATCTTCTTCTCCAGCTTACTCTGGCGCTGGATAGCCTCATCCTTCTCCTTAAGCATCTGCCTCAGCGAGTGAATCTGCGAGGTGGAGTCTTTATAGACTTCCTGCATGGCGACGGAAAGGGAAAAAGAAGAGCTAGCGATGTTAGGAAGTCAAACTGGCTACAGTGTGCTGTAATCTAATACACCTTATTTTTTCATCTGTAAAAAATGTAAAATGCATGCATCCTGCTCTTTCCATTTTTTGTGTTGGCCTATTAAAATACAAGTAGATTGTGGTTGTAACCTGGGGCTATCAATCCTTTTGCAGGGAAATGTAGCAGTGTATGCACCATACTTCCAACAAGTATTGAAGATTTAAGTAAAAAAAAAAAAAATGCTGGAGTAAGAACTGACTTTAATGGCTTCAAGTTCCTTGTTCCTCGTCATCAGCTGTTTTTCCAGCTCCACAATCTTGGCCATGGCTTCATTCTCCATGTCCTGCAGCTTCTCTGTCATCTATGAGAGTGAAAGGGGGCAAAGGTCACAGATGAACATGTTGCAGAGACAATATCCAACTCAAACAAGGTCATGGAGGGCAGCGATGTAACGCATTGATCATGTTCATGTCTTCATAAGTTAGAAATTTTCAGGAGATTAATGTTTTGCAGATACACCAGTTTGCTATGACGGAAAACATTATAATGAGCATTTAACCTTTTCCAATAGACCAATCAAATCATGCAGCAAATTTGTGCTAGATGTCTGAGCATTAACTCAAGATTCACTGTGTCGTTCAATATCAACTCAAAGACACTGCTGAACGACATTACGATGCACAAGTTCACATAGGAGCATATAAAAATGTCAGTGCAACTTACAAAAGAGGCATGTATAATAAACAAATAAATAAATAAATGTTGATTTTTTTTATATATATATAATAAAATAACACTTGTGGGTTCTCACGTGCGACATGTTCTCCTCCAGCTCCTCCACTCGCTCCAGGGCAGCATTTTTGGTCTCTGCATCCTCAAGCAGCGCTCCAACGTCAAACACGTTATCCAGGTAGGCCTGGATCTGAACCTGGAGCTTATCGCTCTCTGTGTGCTTCAGTTTCTGTAAAACAGACAAAAAAATTGTGATTAAAGTCCACTTTCTTTCCCAGGGACTGCAGCAATCTCACATATGCAGGTTTGCAAAACCCAAAAAACTGAAAAGCCTTTATTGATGGCTTCTCTATGCTGGACATCTCAGGGGTGCAGTAACTGAGGACTTTTAGCTGGGAATACTCAGAAGGAGTTCTGTGTAAATCTCAACTCACGTCCAAGTAGTCGTCCAAGCCCAGCTTGGTGAAGTCGTACTGTAGGTGAACTCTAAAGTTCATGTCCTCCACTGAGTGCACAACAATGTTGATGAACTGCATACATGCAACCTGAAGAACGTGAAGAGACGAGCAGAAGAGTCAGTTAAACAGCATTTTTTTTTATTAGCAGAGATAAGTTAAAATTGAAGACAAATAATGCTACACAATTTGATTTACGCTCATTATTCTGATTTCCAGCAGAAGATTCTGACAGTGTAACAATGCTGAGTAAAAGTAGCACACATGGTATTTCACTTTCAAGACAAGAATGCCTAATATAATCTAATTGATGTAAATAAGAAAGCTACTACCATTCTCATATTTGGACAAATTTGGTTGTGGTCTGTTAAAAATGTATAAGATTCTGAAAATAAATTCACACTTTATAACAGATACTGACTCTCTAAGGGAAAAAAAAAAAAAGATTGCACTTTGCACAACCCGCTTTTGCCAAAAAGACAGTACTTTCTGTTCTCCCATAACACTGCACGGGATAAGACGATACATTATCCTGTCTACAGATCTATTGACAAATCATTTCTCTTGCAGATTCTTGCTGCTTTTTATTGCAAAAAGTCCATGAACTCCAACAAGTTTGGGTTTTATGGTTTGGATGCAAATATTCCACCCTATGATGCCGAAGTGGAACAAGTAAATAGTACGATAATTATGTCAGTAAGAGATCAATCAATCAAAATTAAATAAATAGAAATTATGTGCAGCTTCCTGTTCTGCTGTCATCATTTATGTCAGTTAATCCTGGGTTGAATCTGACGCCACAACAAGTTCTATCAGCTGGAGTGTTTCTGTAAGCGATGGAGGGAGACAAACTTGCCAGACGTCTGACAGACAGACACAATATCGACTGGTTTTCACTTTATCAGTCAGGCTGGACTCTTACAAATACAGAGACAGCTAAATGTTTATCTCAAAATTGGAAAGAAATGTTGTTTATTCAATGTTTAGTCTAACAAGAGGATATCTGCAGTGCTGTTCGAAATGTTTAAATAGGTGTAGGTGTGAACACTTTTTTTTTTACTTTAATTCAGTCACTATCTGTTCTCCTTGTTGCTTTTTGTGGGCCCGTCTCATCCACTAAATGATTCAACCTGTGGATCTCACATTTATTTTACTTTTCTTAAAAAAAAGAAAATCTATTTCCAGTAATTACTTTCAAAAAGTGAAATTTGTCCATAGTGAAATATTTCAAGAATTTATTTCTGCTGACATGATGTTCTCCAGCAGGAAGACCCTGACATATCCCCCCATAAGGAAGGTAAACCACAAAAGGCTATTGCTAGGGAAGTTGTTTGGTCACAGAGTGCTGCATCAACTCATCTGTATGTTATGCATCTGTATAATAATGAGTTTATTTGAATTCACCATGAAGTCAATGTTGTTGTCTTCATTCTTGAAGTACTCCATAAGCTTCTCAAACCGCTGCGTCTCCACGCATACCTGCAACGCAAAAGAGTGCGTGAAATTAGTGACCGGTGTTATTATGAAACCATAATCATAAACTTAGCAAGAAAGAGTAAAACGTAAGACTCAAGATTTTAGCAGCTGCTGCATCATATGAACCACCAGTACGAGTGAAAAAACACCCATCAAACAGTCTGATGATAAACTGTTCTCAGTCTTCAAAGTGATTACTGCTGAGCTAAATTATTCATACACGCCTGTTTTAATCCTATTTACAGCAGACGCTGTATACTTTTTGCAAACTTTACCTAAGAAATGCAGTGTTTTTGTGGCAAAAAACCCTATTTAAAGTAGAACTAGACATCCAGAAAGACGTAAAAATGGGGTAGAGTGATGTTTGGCTGATCAGAAAGGTCAATGGGAGGGTAGCGAGGCAGACTGGGACAGAGTATAATAAAGAATTCAGTAGAAATAGGAAGCGTGGTTATTTAAAAACCTCAAGCTTCTGCCTGCAGCCAGTTCTTTGTAGCTGCAAATCATCTCCAGTAAAGTAAAGCTAACTCCGCTGCCTAATTATGAAAAAAATAAATTAAAAAAAATCTCCCAAAATCTGTGACCCTGCTGCTGCGGTTTCACACCATCAGAAACATTTCTCAGCCTCCGTCTCATTAGGTGAGCTCTTCTCTCCCACTAATGCCACCGTCGCTGAAAGCGCCACACTCAATATTTAATTCAGAGGTGTAAATATTACATAAACTGCGCTCGCTCTATGCTCGTAAGATGTTTGCTAAAACGAGGCTGTGGTTAGCCCCTAGTTCTCTCCCTGGCAGCCAGGATACCTCCCTCCAGACAGCCACAGGTCAGGAAGGCTATCTTGAACATCTGTCGCTGTGCTTTTCTGAGCTTTGATGCGCCTGACGAATCTTGTTAACACGCACGGAGCGGTTTTGTCTGATGGGTGGGTTATCCTGTGCTACGCAGACAGACCGGTATCTCTGAACCCTTTGAAGCAACGCCGAGGGGGAATCTGCCGGAGAAGCATTCCTCCAGGGCCGAGAGATTGTTTGAAACGACACAGTCGGAATGTAAAGACTTAAGGGTCTCCCTAAAGAATCCCCAGTTTACCATTCTTTAAGCTGGTCATACCTCCTTGAAGTTGTCAAAGGCGGAGAGAATAATTTCATGGCCTCCTCTCACGAGACAAACTGCCGCCAGGAGCTCCAGCACCAGAGCTTTGGTTCTGTAAAACCACAGAGAAAGTTATGGCAGGAGAGGTTAGCAAATGTTATGTTTGCCAGTAGAGAAGCAAATATAAACTTAAAATGTAAAGTCAGTAGTGTTAACTAAATATCATAATAATAACCCCTCATCAACAACACTGCAGCGCCTCGCAAAGTGTCATCAATTTTTCCACACTCATGGCTGCAGCCACAAACCTCAGTGTGTTTTTATTTTGAATTTATAAGATGGACCAACACAACGTAGTGGATAATTTTCAACTGGAAGGATGTTTTGCTTTTTTTTTTTCTGCAAGTAAAAGTCTAACTTTAAAGCAGGGTTAAAAAAAATCCATTATCTGAGAGTGGAAGGAGTACATTACTCTGTGTGCGAAAACACCGATTGTACGTCACCCTGTATACACCATCCTAAGCAGGAACTATTGTCCAGGAAAATATTATTAATCATTTGACAATTTGTTTGACTGTGATGCTGTGGGGAAGTTTTTCTTCAGCAAGAATGGGAAAACGGGTCAGAGTTGATGAGAAAACAGATGGGAGGCAAATGCAGAGCAATACTGGAAGAAAATCTGTAACAGACTGCATGAAGATGGCAGACTACGGTGGAGGTTCAACCCTAAAACTACTTGTGGGGCAAAAAAAAATGAGAGCACAAAATTTATAGTATTGTGAAGATATTGGTTTACAAAAACGTTCTCGTCTTTACTCAGCAACAGGAACTGGATTTGGGTCAGTCCTCCATTAAAGAGCTTTCTGCGTTTGGCCAAATTTATGCATTTTTAAACACTGATCTTCATTAACTACACGTGCTGCAGGGCAGATTTATATCCTGTCTTTAGTTGTAATCTGGGACTGAACAATATAATTCGGAGTGTTACGAATGGCCCTGGGCCATATTCTGAACACCCCTGGTCTAGCTCAAAGCACATTCATGACAATATCCTAGTCAAAGTACACACCCAAATCTAATCCAGAATCTGTGCAGAGAGACAATCACACTGAGATCAAGCTGTTTTGCAAAGAAGAATGGATAAAAATGTCACATACTGCAGCTGTAATTGGAGTGGATAATGGTTGTATACAGAATTGGCACCATACATTTTAGCCTTTCATTTGTAAAATAATTATTTCTCTTTCGCCTCGAACGTATGCTCTACTTGGTATTACCATCACATAAAATCCCAATAAAAATAAACATTGTGGTGGTAATGTGACAATGTGTTCAAGTGTTCAAGATAGTGTTAATACTTTTGCAAGGCTATGTTGATTATATTAGGAGCATCAAATCATCAACATGGCATTTGTTGAGTATCAGCATGTTTGTGTTGTTTTCATTTTATTGATGCAGGATTTATTTGCCTGAAGGAAAGAATATGTGACATGTGATGCAAAGAGGTTTCACATCAACTTTTCAGGACATCCTGTAACCTTTGGGCATTGTTTGAGAACTCATGCATCAATCCATCCACACACACATACACACACAGGCACGCACACAGCAGAGGCTTTCCAGCAGTGATCTCTTTATGCATCTGTCTGTGTAGAGGAGTCTGCTGGTAGAGCTTTTTTATCTTCCTTCCTTCCTGATGGATGTGTCTCAGAGCAACGAATGCACTTGTACAAAACGACACAGCTGATACTCTGAAACTATGGTTGTAATTTTACTAAAGCACGAAATCTAAACTGAGAATACTGCAGTAAGAAATTTAACTGCTTAAAAACAAACTAGCAGCCACAACAAAAAACATTTGGAAGGAAAGAACAGATTTTATTCACTGATTTTTAATTATCTGCAAAGTGTTGCCAACTTTCACTTTGATTAATGTCCAACAATTACATTTTCACGACTTCTTCCTTGATCTTACCGTGGATTTTTATTGTTGAGACTTAGTGCAATTTCATTCACAGCATGTGGGTGTGACATGACCATGTTGAAGCCGTACTGCAACACAAATATAATGGAGACAAAGACAAATAACAGATTAAAAACGGGGCAGCCTTTAAATATTATTGTACGTGATGAATAAGATATGGAGGGACAGCAGGGGAGCAAATTGAATTTAGCTTCAAATAGATGGTTGTGCTTCAGCCTGAAAGGTCATGTAGTCCCTGCAGATAAAAGAAAGCTTACCTGATAGTTCATGATGGCACGCAGGCACATGATGCAAACATGGACGTCGTCCTTTTTACAGACGAGTCTGGAGTTTTTCAGCGTTCTCCTGCTCGGCAGAGTGCTGCAGCTATAAAACAAAATGAAAAGATTGAAGAAAAGTTGCTAAAAAGGGAAAATGGTGCATGGGTTTCTAAATGGAGTGTCAAATCGGTTTGTGTCTGAACACGTGGGAAAAGCCTGGATAAGCAAGAGAACAGATGCTATTTGTAAATGAGAACAGTAACCCAGCGCCTTGTTCGTACAGAGAGGCTGTTAAAGTGCCAAGCCACCTTACAATACCACAAACAAAGGCTATATGATCTACTGCCACACACAGGGGCCACAGGATGGCTGCTTTGTTTTAGCTTGATGTCCTTCACTTACATATCAATCACAGCTAACATAATAGCAGCCAGTCATTTGCATGCAGCACGGTGACTGTGTAACTTTACGAGGACAAAAAAACAAAACAGAAACAAGGCTTCTGAGATGACGTAAGTGCTGATCCAGTTAAAGCAAAACTGTTTATTTGCAAACTTTACAAACACAAGTTTCAATTTCCAAGTCCAAGTTCAGTAGAAAAACATTTCTTCAGGCGATAGTTTGACATGCTGATTCCCGTCAGACTCCCTGCCTGTAGGTAAAACTTATCAGTGAGTCACAGCAGAGTTTTTTTTTTTAAGGAGGCAGCAGATTTTGGATGAAGATAGTTAGTAAGTCATCTTAAAGCTTGCATAAACATTATGTGTTAGAGTTAAGGGAAAAGTACCTCACAAAACCAAAATAATCAAAATGACAGCTGCATATTGGACAAGTTATCCAAAATAATACAGAGGAGTAAAAAAAAGAAAGATTCCCCTCCCAATTAATTGTCATCTTAACAGAGGTGAAGTGGAACTAAGAACAGGAATAAATTCACAGGAAATGAATGTGCTTTGACATGTCTGAAAGAGCCTTTTGTTCTCTGTTCTGCTGAGCAAATTTATACCTTAAAGAAGAGAATAAATAAAAAAGGGAATAACTACACCAAAATAAAAATAAAAAAAAACAATTCAATTGGCTGTTGTGTTTACAGATTTCTGTTCATAATGACGGCGAAAGCAGAGCGCAGTCGGAACATTAGTCATTCATATTTAAGACATTCAAAGCCAAGCACTAATCTTACAAAGCAGAACTTCAACTTTGACAGTTGGTTTTAACTGGAATTGAACTGAAAAATGGAAGGAGGAAATTATGAATCATGTCAAAACATGCGTAAACATACTTGCGTGTAAAAGACGTAATTGCCATGTGACGAATCCAACTGCGCTTTAGAAACAAATGATAAACCTATGTGCACTATATAGGCGACACGCTGTTGGAATATAACCGCAGCTTTCTTACACCAGTTGACTCCGTGTTGGAGCAACATAGTAAAGCTGCTGCACAGTTCTCCAGCTATGATAAAATATACATCGCTGCCAAGAAAATGAGACCACTGGATCAGAAATGTAACTGCCTGAGTGATCCAAGTGAAACGTCATCACAAAAATAACATAGACCAATGTCGGATATAGAAATGGCGTCACTTTACTTTAGACATGACAACACAGTAGTTTTAAACTTCAATGTATTGAACTGAGATTCAATAAAGGCATATATGTAAATGACTTGGGGACAAAAAAAAAAAAGTCCCGATTGAAATGCGGACCAAACAAATTAACAAACAAGGGTAATTTGCTTTGTGAAAAATCTGATTCATGTTCTGGAGAAGGACAAAAACAGTTTGAGCAGGAAAGATTTTTAGGTTTATGTGAGAACAAGTCTAAAATATTTGTATTTTCAACAATGCAGACCAGTAATAACAGTTTAATTTGTGCCACATGAGAAAAACCAAACACTAGAACTACACTACAGGCTATAAGATACAGAACTAAGATGTCTACATGTTGCTAGCGCTCTCCTAACTCCTCAGACATACCGTTTCATCTGAGTAAACTTTGGACAGTTGAACGAACCCGGCATCCTACAAGAGGCAATTTGAAGAAAGCAAATACAAATGACTTAGTTTGGCTTTAATAAACCAGCTACAGATTATTTTTAATACTACCTAAAAAGCAAAAGGTAGATTCTCTGTCTTCATCAAAACACAGAAACATTTCTAGAAGCGATCTGTAGAAGCCATTTGAGAATCTAGGCTAAGTTCTGCACAGGAATGTCATTCGAGGAGTAATACAAGCAGCACACAAACAGAAACAATGAGTGCAGAACAAACCATTTACTCCAAGAGAAGCAGAGCTCAGTCACATGAGAATGAGGAGGACTAGGAGGAGGGAGCAGGATTCACAAATAATTCACTTTCCTGACAGAAACAGCAGGACAAATAAACCAGACAGCCCTAGCAGGGAGGTAAAAAGTACAATAAGGAAGGGGTCCTGTGTGTGGGGACGTATATGTGAGCGGCAGTCTGTGGTCGCAGCATTTTGTGTGTTCATGTGCATCATGTGTGCTCAAGAGGGAACGGGGAAGTGGCAACCTGCCTGCTGTCGAAGAGTGGCGGACAAAAGAGCAGATGACTACTGATGAAGACGGCGACAAAAAACAGAAGAGACGGTCACAAACTGAACATACTCCAGAGCAGTGACACAAGAGAACCAGCACCATTTACTTAACGGACTGGAACAAGACAAATAAAGCACCAGACTGAAGTGGTGGAAACCACTTATGTCCAGAGGTTTTGTAGGTAGCTGACGGACATTCCAACAATCGATCTTTGAATTATGTCATGTTAAAAAAGCAAACTTCACATTATTTCTTGCCTGTGTTTTTTGTGACAGACCAACAGAAAGTAGCAACAAGGTAATGATTTGCATTTGTATTCATCCCATTTACTAAGATAAATGTTCAAAAAGTCTGTCTCTGGTTGTGCATTGCTGGGAGACACTGTCACAAAAGATTTCAATGTATTTGCAGCAACAGATAATTTTACAACACATCTACTCATGTCTAACATGTCTTGGAGATGGACTCCATTTTTCATATTGTTCCTTTCTACTCTGTGTTGGTCTATCACACAAATACCAGTAAAATAGATTGTTTGTTGGATTAACATAACATTTCAGGAAGTTTAAGGGGGAAAATCGTCTGCAAGGCACAAGTTAGACTTATCTTTGTCTGACATTCTTGAATTAATAGTTGAAATAAAGCGTGTAAAATATGTCTTATTGTATAGAAATATTACATATGTGTGTGTCAAACTGCCACAGAACAATTCACAATGAATTGCCCAAATATTTTCGCGCAAAGGTCTCAAAAGTTCATGTGGCCCTTGACTCAGTAATGCTCTTTGTGTACGAAGTGCTCAGGTAAACCTCTTCAAATTAAGGATTAGAGGCAACAGACGTCAATACGACTTCTGTACTGAGAGAATAAAGCCATGACAGTGGAGATTAGAGAAATTATGCCTGAACGAGTTGGATTTGGGCTTCAAAGTATATATTAGCCAGGGCCTTGTGAATAAACAGCAGTGGAATCCTGTGTACTGAGGATTTGGAGTTAGTTTGGTGTTTATAAATATTGCCCCGGAAAGAAAAATGACCTACAAAAAGATCTAGTGTGTCGCCTGAAAAACTGTCAGTAATGTGTTATAATCATGAGTCTGGGCAGCCAAAATCAAAAAAGAAAAATCCAGACAAAAAGATTTTTCCCCCTTCCATGTGTTCTAAGCCATTTAAAGTCTTAGAGACCCCATGACTACACAAAGAGGCAGCTGAGGCATCATAAGAAACGTGTGACTTCTCAAAATAATCACACTGCTTAAGCCAAATGCTGAAAACAGAAAATGGGGAAGGAACACAGCTGCTGGGTAACTCTGTCACCATCAGGTAAATGTAGAAACGCGCAGTGATGTTTGTAGTACCGTAACGTGGAGTGTCGGCCGCCACGAGTGATGCCGTTCCCCGTGATGTTGGCTGGCAGGGTACCCCCTCCATGCAGATCCTCTATGGACCGGCCCCAGGTCTTGGACTTGTCCATCATGACATCTGTATTGTTTTCCAAGCAGTCGCCATCAAAACTGGAAAATGAGACGTAGATGAGTCAACAAGCTGTGAAAAACCTTTATTTTGCAGTTATTTAACAGTCTGAGCCACAATTAAGGACCACCCAGAGACTTGCTATACTTTGGCTGAAGCAGCAGATTTATTCCCTAAATGTTACCAGAATAAAAAAAAAAAAAAAAAAAAGCAGCTTTGTTCAATGTCAGTACTGTTGCTGACTAGTTCAAAAGAAGTAAAAAGCTGTCAATGGAGCTAGTATTTTTCAGCAAAATGTTTTACTATGCACATTTTTTGGTTGTCTGTTGTTTTTAGAGCTGTTGCTTTATGATCACTGAGGCATAAAATTAGAAGCGTCAGAGTCTGTTCCATAGTATGTCTAAGTTAATGGCTTTCATTTTATCTTCTTTTACCTTTCACATTTTCCCCTTTGGCATATTTGTTCTTTTTTGCTTTTCTTTTTCGTATCAGATCAATTTGATAGTGTAAAAGCTTGTGGCAAGAACTTTTGAAGGAAAACTGCAATTCCAATAGGTTTAGCTAAACTATTGGAATGCTTACTCCGTTTGTCTTTTGTCATCTTCCAATACCTTTGTGGCAAAAACTGACGCACGTCAAAAATGACATTATTGTACATCAGCATTTTTTCAGATTCATCTTGTATACTTCAGGCCTGATTAAAACTGCTGAGCAATCAATTACCTTTAGGATTTAAACACTTTCACTGCGAGTTTGTAATTCTTGACAGAATGTTTGAAAGATCAAAGATAAGCAACAAAACTGATTTGATTGCATTATGTATTATGTACTGCCAAATTCTGTTTAAACAACTTTGAGTGCAAAATTCCCCCACTGACTTCCATTAAAATCTTATATTCTTCACTGCTACAAAAAAAAACATAAAACTTATGAGACTATTTCATTTTTTAAAAAGGTGAAATGTTTGACCTTTAAATTTCTGCCAACTTGTTTTGACCAAAAAAATAAGAAAAAGTTAAAACAGCAACACTTTATCAAGTTGTCATATGAACCATGACATGTCAAAGTCTAATGACCCAGCGGTGACACCACTGTGGTTTTTTGCGCTTAAACATGTGAAGCTAAACAAATGAAATGTTTCGTTGAAGTCGGTAGTGACTAAGGTATTTTATACCACCGACCTTATGTGCTGCTCCACCACTGTACAAATATAATATTACAGGAAACCTCTGCAATGTGGACAAACCATAATCACACATGCTGAAGTCAAGCGACGAATTTAAAATTAAACAAAAAAGGCCACGGGAGCTCGAACAGGGACTCTGTTCGAGTGACTAATAATCACCCAGTCAGTTCATGAATAGCAGCATACGGCTGCTATAATATACAATCTGCTAGCGATGGTCAGCGAGTGACTCAGTGTTTCTGACAGCAGAGACGGTGGAGCTGGCGCTGAGTGGAGAGGCATCAGCATCTGTAGAATAGCAGCGTTGTGCTGGTTCCTCTGAAACACTGTTGCCCACAGAGGATGCATGCAGGGACTTACGTGACGGCGTACTGCGCGAATGAAAGGTACTCCACCAGCACGTCCAGGCCTTTGTTCTCTTCATTTAAGAACTCCCTCACCCACCTGAAAAACAAACAGATGTAGAAGTTTATTGCAACATAAATTTGCTAATAAACTGTTGTGGCCATCAGTTAAATTTGAATGGACATTTACAGAAATAAAAGTGTAAGACAGATATGTTTGTACAATTACAGGAAAGTGAAGCAAAATAACACTGCTGGGAATTAAAAGCTTTTGTGTTGTTTTCTTGTAGGACTCTTTTGAGTTTCTTCTATTCTGGAGACTTTCTAATCGAGCCTTGTTCTGGTTTTCTGATTCTGTCTGAGTTCTTAAGATCTTTAAAGCATGAAAGAAAATAAACACATTAAAAAAGTTGATCAAATTATATACTTGAGTTCCAAGAGTGAAAATGTGAGTTTTTTCTTTTAATGTATTTAAAAAGCTTTCAGAAACCAAATCACCGATTTGTTCATATGTAGCTTTTTCAAATTTTATGTTACCTATTAAGCTGCCTAGAATTCAATAAATTTTTTAAAATAAACAATTAAAAATAAGCATCCCGTCTTCCAGAGCAGTAGATGAATCCCACATGCAAGGATTTATTCAAACAGAGACATTCACATAACTGAGCTAGCCTCTCTTTAAGTCCTAAAGACTTGCAGCAGCAATGACATCGACGGTGGTTCTATAAAGTACTGACTTAAGCTTCGGTCCAGTTCCACCCCTACTGCAGCCCTGATGTCTTTGCATGTAACTGAGCGAGGCATCGAAGCTGTACCTGACGTCATTATTTTTGAAACTAAACAATGATTTCGATGTAGCCGGCCGAAGCCACTTCCTCAGAGATGCGGCGGAAAACTTTCTCTTTCCTCGTTGACCGATCTAGTTCGTTCTGTACTCGTTCATCAGCGAGTAAGCATAGGAAAAAAAATTACCTCATCATGGGACCAGGTAACAGCAGAATATTGAGAGGAATTCATTGCAAATTAAAAATAATAATAATAAAAATATTTAAAAGAGCACTCTTTACAAAATACAGTAAGAACAGTTTAGTGAGAGCCAGCTAGACCCGATAAATGGCTGACCGCAAAACAACCAACGGCTGACTCTAAACCAATCAGCTGCTGAATTCAAAGCAGCCCCGCTTAGCCGGCCCTTTGGAACCACAGCTCTTGTGGTTCCAAAGAGCCGGGTGGAACCGGGCCAGAAGTTCTAATGCAAAAACGGTCGACTGCAAGGCCCGTTCTGTGGCGGGCCTTGCAGTGCGAAAGGGGCTTTAGAGGGGCTGATTACAAACACATGCCACACTTTTCAGATTTTAAGTTTGTTTTTGTTTCGTCTTGTTTTTTACAACCGTGTATCATTTTTCTTTCTCTACAGAATTATGCACTGCTTTCTGTTAGTCTGTCAAATTAAGTCCCAATAAAATGTAATGCAAATATAAAACTAATTGGACAAAAGTGTCACGTCTTTATTTCTTGTAGCCACAAAAGCTTTTGACTGATGTCACATTCATTAAGACTCTTTAAAGATTAAGTGGCTGCGTCTTGATTGGCCCCCCATGTGGTGTGACTGCATGGAGCTGGACAATCTAGTACAAGAGTCCAGTAAACCGGTGTCAGGCAGGGCCGTCGTCTTAAAACAGACTGACGGAGTGGCTTCGTTGCCCGTATGGTGGTCATTACCACAAGATGCTGACAACCCTCCCATTCTCCACATGTTGGTGACCACAGTGCAACATGTCGGACACAGGCAGGCAGGCGTGGAGCCAGGGTCGGCGTCAGCAGAGCACGCTCAGGGACAATCCGCCCATTATGCGCAGCATGATTGATCAAACTTTCCGTTTCACCTCTGAAAAGAAGCAGCAATTATTCACTGTGTCAGTGGGTGACATTGTTGCTCCGTTTCAATCAGCAGCTCCTGACCTCTCCGTGTCCCTCCCCCGCCTCCGTGGTTAGCTCCTCATTTGTCTAACAGAGACCGACTTCATGTAATCTCGTTTTTCAACACAACATCTTTTAAAAGAGTTCATCCCTCTAAACAGTGGTTCAGCTGCTTTGCAACACAGGCATCGTCTGCGGCTGGAGTCGTGTTTTGGTTTAAAGAGCAGAATCGGTGTGTAAACAGTCTGTAGGAGTGCAAGAGCCGCTGCTGTCAGACACATGAGATAATCTCAGAGTGTGGGTGAAACTGACAAATTGAAGAATATATATGTGTGTGGGAGGGAGGAAGAGAGAAAAACAGAGGGTTTAGATGACAGTTTAGAATGAAGAGTGTTTTTGCTGTTTCAATAGTCTTTGGCCACCAAATGCTCTCTTGGCTGCATCCTTCAAGATCTGCTGCTACCACCTACTTAAAATGCTCATCTGGTCTTTACTAGGGTATACATTTACTTAAACCTAATTACAAGTCTCCAAAAACAATGGACATATTCCAAACTTGAAATATTTATTAAGCAAACATGAAGCCAAAATGGAAAAGTCATCAGTAAACCCAGTGATTCACCAGCAGCAGGATTCAATGACATCTACAGCTAAGAGTAACTAAAATCCAACAAACCCACCTAGTTCCAACATCAACACAAAAGAAGGATATCTGCTCACATTACAGCTTCTCCAATGCTTTCTAAAGGCACTTTCTCAGCATTTCAATCAGGTTGACTGATTAAAGAGCCATTGTAACATGTTGCCCAGGACATTTTGTTGAAGATTTGCTGCTGTGTTTGAGATCAACAAATAGCCTCTAATTTGATACTTAAGCACTCTGGAATCCAGAAAAGATCAAGGTTGACTCTGTGGGTACGAGTTGCACAGCTCACCTGGCTGTGAAGCGAATGTAAATTATGAATCCTCCACCACTGAGCTCAGTACGTTTTTGGTCACTGCTGTGCATTATGACCAAACATCTCTTCTTTCAATGAGAAAAAACATTGGCTTGTTCAACGTAATTGCTGATGTCTTTCTGCCCTGACATTGTGTTGACCAGCAGACTCCAGAACAAGAAGCTGCAAAAAAAAAAAAAAAATCCAGCTTTCATAGAAGTGGTCACACTTATAATCCTAATAATCAGTTAATCATAGGCTTTTTGATCCAATGAAAGCAGCAAGGGTTTATTTTGGTTTTCCACACTGAGATTTTTATAATTTTTGAATTAATTTTTACTTAATGAGTACTGACAGCATGGCATCTGTGTGAGTTTTTATGATTCAGGTTAGATTTAAAACTTAGAAGTGCCTCTTATGTGTAAAATCTTAAAATTAGAAGAGTGTGTCATTTCTTTTTCTAGAAATGTAATCTTCAGAGTCAATCATGTTTCTTCCGGAGAAAAATGACTAACACATTGTGAAAGATATGATTGTAGTGAGAATTTTTATTTATTTATTTTTTTTTATCCGAGATAAGATTTGACACCTTTGTTATAAGCTGTATTTAAAGGTTTACTTTCTGTTCTGGTAGTGTTTGTCTTGGTAATGCTCATAGCTGTGGTTGCTAGGGACATGCATTCCCCGTTTTCACACAGGTTACAGGATTCCTGCAATTTTTAATGTAAAAAAAAATTCAGACTTTTTCAAGCTGAACTTTTCAGAGTCAATAGTCCATTTCAAAGTATAAAATGAGGCCTGAAAAAGAGAAAAAACAAATGAAAAGAAAAAAGAGGAAACAAAGGATACAAGGAAGGAAAAAAATCTGAAATGTACACATGTACATATTTTTCAACATTCATGTTTTCTTTTTTCATACTCATCTATACCTGGAGAAACTTTGCATCAAGTTCCAGACGCTTTTGTTTAGGCCAAACACTATTAAAAAACACAGACGTAGACATCCCTTGTGTCTGTAAAGCAGAATTTCTTTACAACTATAATTGGAATTTGGATCTAACATATCCCAGCATGCATTAGGCCTCATTAGTAACGCACCCATCACAGCCCATGGAGACGCAGATGTGTGATCTAAAGCATGAAAAAACACTGACTCTCTGTGAGATATTGATCTGTGCTCCAGCCTGACTGTACAGCTCTAAATCTGCACAGGTTTAGACTTGTTATCTCAGAATACCTAACATAGCACATGAATGCACCAGTGTTTCATCTATTGTGAAATCATCATCGTCTGTGTAGCAATATCCACATTAATATCTCATCATCGGAATCATGGACTGAAATGCTACAGTGGCGCGGCCAAACTCCAGCGAAGAAAAAATGTGTTTTCCTTCCAGAGGCTGCTCATGTGTCAGCTGCTCCGAAACAATCCTCCGATTCATCTTTTCCTCGCCGCCACATGGCTTTCGGTGTAATATTAGGTCACAGCACAGATAGGAATGATACAAGGGAGGGGGAGGCTGGGTTTAGCATCGACGTCTGCATCTCCTGGTGTCTGGAATGCCAGACTTTTCCCCCTTAAATCGAACATAATCAGACACAAGACGCGTTTATACTACACAAGCTTCAGCACAGTCTGTGACTCACCCTATATGATTGGTCCGCAACGAAATTTCCAGTTCTCTCAGGACTTGGGTGGACTCTTGTACCCTCCGTCTGAATTTCTGGGGAAGGAAAATAAAATTGGGGGGGGAGGTTAGATTTCATCATACCCTAATAAATCAACATGTGGTAGGAACATAGATCAGGGACATTTTTTGGCTGAGGGGAGCATTTTTTTCCAAAAAGAAAGGTCAGACAAACACAAATGCAGATATTCTGAAGTGAGAGTGAGGAGGGAGTTCAGCACGTACTGATTATAAAATCCGAGGATAAAAAATAGGGGCCGAGTCGTTCCTCAACAGAAAAGTAGCTATTAACAAGGCTATTAAAGATGAAGAGCTGACTCACTGGAAAAAAGCTACAGTTTTCTTGTTTTCCTTCTTTTTACCTCAATTGTATAGCTCATACAGTCAAACTCTCAACTAAAGTCAACCCTGTAAAAAAAAAAAAAAAAAAAAAGCTTTTCTGACACCATGATAAACATTTCTAACGTGACATATATCGTGTACAATTTAAAATACTAAATTTGTCAAAGCACCTTTACATTCAGTTTCAATCAGATTTTCAAATTTATTGATATGTATTGATATTGATGCTCTCATGGGACAAACAGTGGAGAAAATATTTCCAAGAAAAATCATGCTTTGGGATCAAATAAAGTTGATCCCAAAGCACGATGCTGCCATCACCATGTTTCACTGTGGTCATTTCTTTCGTAATAATCAAGTGTCAAAAGGCACCTTGCTCCTGTAAGTCTATTAAATAGTGCTAGTTCAACTACAATAAGCCCAATCTTGTAATTTAAGGGCAGTGGATTCTGTCTTTAAATAGCTTCAACACCCAGAAGCTACGTAAACAAACAGAGATTCTCGTGTTTGTTACTCAGGCTGCAGCTGCTATGAAAACCTGAAGACCACGCAAAGGTGAGACTCAGCTCCTGATCAAGACAAACAAAAACAAAAGTGAATATGAGCGGAGGATTACTATGTCCTTTTACTCCCCAATTCTGGCTCAATAGTTATCTGCAAAACTGTAGACAAGAGGCCGTTTAGTCTGTTACACAACCACAAGAACAAAACAAGCTGAGCGAATGACCCGTGGCGATCAAATGGGCTGTAACGTAATGAGGAGGGGAAAATCCCCACATGAGACAGAGTGAAACCTCTTCATAATGCAGAAGAAAAGCTAAATGAACTTTGATCAACTAAAACATCGTGAGCTGTTATTTTTACAGCTCACGATGTAGCCATGATTTTATAAGTTTATCACTTGCATTTTAGATGATCCGACAGGAGGAACAGGAAAACTGTAAAATACTATGGATTAGAGTTATACATTTAGTTCAGGATGGGGTAAAATAAGCTGTAAAAGCACAAAATATTAGGTATTTTTTTAATCTAGTTTCCCGTACAAATATCTTTGTACACTTGAAGACAAAACTAACTTACAAATAACTTTCAGCAAGATACGCGAGCTTGGTTTAAATTCCTTAACGTTGTTGAAAAATGGCAGATTATTTCATTTATAGCATGGGAAAAGTGTCTTATTATAAGTGAAATAATATTCCAGTGGACAAGTACTTTTTCAACAATATAAAGGATTTTTTTTTTATTAAAACAAGCTCCCACATGTTGCTGAAAAGTTACTTTTAAATTACTTTTGTCTTATTTCAAGTGTACTAAAATATTTGCACTGCAAAAAATAGACAAGAGGTGATTTGGATCAACTGAGGAGTAATGAATCCATCAGTTGATGGATGAATTTCTTCTCCTCTTGCTTTGAACTAGAAAATACTCCTACCAAATTCCAAAATTTCCTCGATTTTTCCAGAATAAACAGGAGCCCTGGGTAACAGCTGTCTTAAAATCATCAGTGGTCCAATCCTCCACTCCTGCCTTGTATAAATTTCAGATTAGACCGGAGACTTGGATAAGAAAAGAACACTTGTGTGATCAACACATTGTAAAACACTCTGTAAAACATGGAGAAGGTTGAAGCGGTGCTATAAAAGTGTGGACAGAAAAGAAGAGACGAGACAAACCCTCCCAGTCTCTTTCCATGAAGCGTTTATATCTGGGAGGAAGCAGAGCTCAGGCTTGTGTCAGCCTATTATTAACATCCACAGAGAAGAGAGCTGTTCCCACAGCTGATTCTCTCCAGTGGACGTCTCTGGTCCAGGGCGGTGTACGTTTGAGGAGATGAGAAACAGAGAATCTTTTTTTTTTTTTTATTATTGGGGAGGAGTACTTAAAAAAAATAGGATATGGAAAGCAGAGGACATATTTCGGGGTACTGCGCAGGCTCTCTCAGCTCCCCACCAAACCCCCACAACTTTAAGTGCTACCAGCTGCATCACAGAGAGAGCAGGAAGAGACAGTGGGAGAGAGAGGCTGAGAGGAAAGGAGGGGGGAGAGATGCAGAGGAGACAGCAGGGAGAATGTAAAGGAGGGAAAAGTGAAAAACTGAGGTTTCGGGAGGTGTTAGCACAGGAGGGGTCGTTCTGGAAGCAAATCAACGACTGATCCATTCTCGGGGACTAGCTAGACTGAGGCTCTTCCTCTTTGGCTGCCGATTGGCTGGGAGCTGCTTGGAGGAATGCACGAGAGCCTGCCTATGGAAAGCAGAGGCAATGACCTCCAGCTCTCTCACAGTGGCACAAAGTGGCAATTGTTTGAGTTGGAAGAAAAGGGGGATGGAGCAGGAATGTAGAAAGAAGCCCATAACTCTCTCTTCCTCCGTGCCCTCTTGTGCTTAGTTTTTTGTCTCTGCTGTCGTCCGTCCATCTCTTTGCCCCTTCCCTCAATAAGCGCTCTTTAATTCAGCACCTCTCCTTCCCTCCTTCCCCATTGCTGCGCTCGCTTCAGTCTTTCATCTTGTTGCTGTGTGTCTGTCCACTTCAAGCTTTTAATCGAGGCAAAGAAAAGGCGCCAGTCTCATGTCAGGCTAATTTTACACGACAAACGTGAGGCCACTGGAGTTAAAAACAAGGCGGAAGAGAATTGAAGTGACATCTTCTTCGGAAATCTTTTATTAAAGCTGATTAACTCTAAATGGGGGGGGGGGACATGGGGGACAGTAGATCAGCTCATATGATTGATCTTCAATGGCAATGCCGAATATTTATTTATTTTTTTTTTATTTCCTTTATTTAACCAGGTTTACACTTAGAAAGGTTTCAACATGGTCACTTCCTCTGACAAGGAAACATTTGACATGCTGGAAAAATATTTGAAGGATAAACGGATTATGTACCTATTCCAACTCTTGCTCAGTTTACAGTTAAACCTACTCAAAATACTGGAATAAGAATAGAAATGTTCTACTGAAAAGTACAGTATGACCATTTACCGTACTGCATCTGCACTCAAAACATTTTTGGGGCTCCTTTTGCATAAATTACTGGATCAGCGCATCATGTTATGGAGGAGGCTTTGAGGAAGCCCAGGCTGACTTAATAGTGACCTTCAGCTTGCCTGTCTTTTGTCAGATTTTAGGACCTTGATTTCCAAACAGATTTAAAAATTACTTCTGATAAGAAGACTGATCATCTAAAGAGTGGGCCGGGTATACTGAGCAACAGCTAAAACGTATATTTCCTAAGCCCAAAAACATTAAAAAAGAAACAATATAGATATCAGGGAGACGGAACGGGGTAGGGCAAAGTCCCTCCATTTCATTCGTTTGAGCTTTCAACTTCTGTCGGACAAAAAACAGGCTGGATTCAGAAATATAGTGATTTGAAACTCTTATGACTTACCGTTGTTTTTGTAATGCTAACCAAACATATTATCATTAGATGCCAAAGGCAATTTAACACATCAACATTATGTAATCCTTCAATCTCTGTTCTAAAATTACAGTAAACATTGTTTCGACATTGTTTAACATTAAATTCACTGGTGCTGTTTGCTTTCCTTTCAAGAAATCAAATTAAATTAAAATTGGTTTTGACACGCCAACAATTCACAAAATAGGAGCTCGGAAATTTGCCCCACACTCCGTTCAGTGCATCTTCAGTCTAAATCTTCTCACACTAAACCTGTTGTTGCAGATGATACGATGATTTAACCTAGACATTGATAGGTCTACTATGCCTGAAACTCCCTGCTGTCACTTCTTTTCTTTATCAGATTCTCTAAATACATGACTCCTCAGGCAGTCGATTTGCCAACCGCAGCACTGTAGGCCTGAACTCATCTGCATTTAAAAAAAATTACAAGGCTTAGATTAACATGCTTACTGAAAAGGAAACTTACATTTTCTTGCTCATATGTTATCAATTATTTGTTGTCGTAATGTTTTTTTCCCGTTTGTAATTTTTTGTGAAGAGTCCAAAATGTCCCACGTCAGAGAAGCTTTCAAAACAGCCTCATAAAAACTCAGCCGTTTCTCTGTTTTTACAACCATAATCACAGTTTTAGCTTGCTTTAGTTTGGTCATGCCACCCTAGTCCTGTCATTGTGGTTAAAACTTTTAGCCACAGCAGCTTCAGACTGAATTATTCAGTGATTTGTTCTCGTTTTGGCAGAGTTTGTTGCTTAATTTGATTATCACAGAGGCAGGTCTCCTGGCGTTTCTCGCCACAGCTTGCACATCCAAAGACAAAAAGACTTCATTTTGGCAAACAAGAGAAGTTTGGCTGATACTTGTCCACATGAAGCTCCTCCCTAGCCTCCAACTTTCTCCCTCTCATGCAGCCAAGCAACACATCCAAACGCGGCTGCTAAGGCGACATAAAGGCATTTTTATCATATAGATAAGAAACTCCTGATTATTTCTTTCAGGAGCCTGCAAAGCTGCAAGGAATTGTCAATGCAGGAATATGTCTGCCTTTCCCCTGCTCATTCTTTACCACAGAGCAGCACTATTAAACACTGGCCAGAGGTTTCTCAAACCAGGGCGTTCCCGATAAACAACTGTCTGCTTTCTCACTAATCTGCAGTGTTTTGCAACTTGAGTTCCCGAGCTGTCTCCCAGGGAACTCTTCAGTGCAATCTTTCCTCAGCTGTGGGGATATCCTGAACAAAAGTAAGAAGGTCAGGAGACTTGGGGGTGGGAGGGGGCTGAAAGCTGCCAGGCCACCAGAACAGGAAAGCATGTTAGACTGAACACTCACCTTTCGTGTCACTGCAGGGTCTAGATAGCTCCTTAGCTTCTGGAGATAAGTGTGCGGCGGGTTCTTCACTTGGAATCGTTCCTGTCAAAGGGAGAAAAGAACATGAGATTAGAGAGAATGAAGGGAAAAAGATGAGGCAGAAATAATGAAAAAAAAGACTCCAGAAACACACATCTAGATTTTTTGTGAGGTCAATTATTTAGATGGTCACACACATCTATATCACAATGTAAACAAAAATACACGCACATCCTTATTTATTCTCAGCACAAAGGAAACTTCAACTCGCAGTGAGCAGCCATGCACAGATGGGAACTTTAGATTATCTTCCACTTCAAGAAGGAAAATAAAACAGTTCCTCCATTCATAAGCGGCTGCAGACATGACAAACCCTCATATGACTCGTTTCATATTACATAGAATAAAATCCGTCACAGAAAGATGCTGTTTTCTGTCAAGGTTTTTACCCAGTTTTAACACTTCTTTACATTTTTTTGGTAAATGAATGGTTTAGGAAACATGATTAGAATCAACTTTTATTTGTTTCTCAGTGGGAAAATCACAATATAAAGGAACACAGAGATGTACACAACTGATGTGGATTTCTACTAATGACACCAAAAAGAGTTATTTATAACAGGTAATGTGTTACATGCCTTTAACCTATTAACTTAACCTTAAAAATACTTAACTATCCCTTTAAGGGGAGGAGGTTTTTTTAATACCTCATGGATTCAACAAAAACAATTACAAAAACAAATCCCAGGAGATCACGAGGCTTTGCTGTGAAAAACTATTTCACTGTAGATGTACAATAACCCAAGTTGAACCAACCACCAGGTTTTAAGCCCGCACCATTGTGCTCTAAATATAAAAACAGGAGATTAGTCTAGGATTTGGATCAGTGTGTTGAGCGGGAAATTGTATTTGTTTCAGACTGAGAACAGCACCACAACAGTTTATCAGTGGTGAAACTTCAATAAGTATGGCTAAATTGTTTTTAAAAAATTTATAAAATAAAATAAAAAAGAAGAAGAAGAAGAAGAAAGACGTATTCCTCGAGGTAGACTGAGCAATTAGTTCTGGTTAGTGTTTGCAAACACAATTTTGGCCCCTCTGCTTGAGCTGTACAAGCCAGAGAACAGCGAGGCAGCAGCGCAGTCACAGAGACAGACTGCGGCTTATTCCAAAACAAAGACAATTAAATCCTGATTACATATTGTTCTGAGCTTGTTACGTTATGAGACACAGCTGTACAAACAGACGGCGATAAATGAAGAGGGAATAAGATGGATTGTGTCTGCAATATTCTATATGTTTCTATTTTATTTTTTTCCCTCATGTTGGAGAAAAATCCAGAGTTAGTCATTTTATTTCTTCTTTTATACTTTGAAGTACATCTCAGATGAAGATGCCAAAGAGTGTTTCGATTACATGTGCCCTTTAAGAAACTAAGTACGTTAGGAAATCACACATGTGCTAATCAGCTCAAGGATGACTGCGCATCCAGTCCACACACTCACCAACCCAAAGCAATGGTTGGTTGGGTGAGCAAATACATTACATTTGGAGGAAATAATTTGGCATTGCTGTGGTGATGTCAAATTATACTCAAATGTTAATGTTTCCACCATTTGTTTTTTTTTTTTGTTTTGTTTTGTTTGTTTTTTTTTTTACTGGTTTTGTGGTGAATCTTTTAGCAATTAAAACGTCAGAAATTATTTCTAAAAAGTTGTGTCTAATACCCTAAATAGAAAAACAGTGTGGCCAAAACATTTGCCAATCCAATGTAGAAGCACAGGCAACTCTCCACACATGAGCCATTCACCATTGTCGAGGCACACCAAGTTTTTAAGACGGGTACAGATTCAAAACCACAACATTCATTCTGGTCCTGCGGTATAAAGTATTTTAATGAGTAACCAGAGAAAGTCAGTTTTTCCTGGTTGTATGGAGCAATGAGTAATACAGCAATGTCTCCCTCCTCCTGTTACTAGGACTTGCATGGGCAACTGGCTAAAAGAAGAACCCCCATATTTTTTTCTCTTTCAACTTAAAAGCTTTGAAATTTGGGAAAATACCTGAATGCAAATTTTAACTGCACCAAACAGAACAGATCTATAAGAAAAGTATTTCAGTTATTTAAGGAAAATAACAACCAACTGAAAAAGTCCAACTCCAAGTATTTACTCAGAGTGTACTCAAAACGTACCACCAATTTAGAAAATCTTGTATCCTTGATTTGACTCACGGATGTCCAAAAAAAAAAAAAAAGCGACTATGCAAACATGACAGAGTTTGTAATAGAACATCTCCCATGACTACCTGCTGTACACAGATAGTAAGATGAGATCAGCATCACTACATTTATTAGAGCCAGAAAAACAGGAAATACAAGATGAGAGCAAAGACAAGACGAGAGCAAAGACAGGAAAGAGCGTCTCTCTCAGAGGACAGCAACAGAGAGACGAGTCTGGTACCCAGCAACTCTGCGAAAATACAAAGTGGATTACAGTCCAAATGTAAAATAAAATGTGAGTAACGCAAACCAGCCTTCAACCCACATGGTTCCTAGAAGCCTATATGAGTAAGGTTGTCGGGGCAACAGGTTGAAAATAAAAACAGCGTTTTTTGATTTTTTTCAAAGAATCTGTAGAGTCTGCTCAAGTAAAAGAAGTGAAGCAGTTGTTTACACATTGTAGTTAAAACCTTTGGATGTTTTCAAGAACATGGTGTGACTGCAGACAGATGAAACTGTCTGGAAAATGCCTTGTTAGCAGGAAAAAGGTCACAGTAACAGGATCTGGCTGTTGTCTGCTCTGTGATTTTTGTTTTTTCAAACAGTTTTTATAAAGAAAAAAACTCCTCATACTTGCAACAACGACTTAAAACTTCAGCCTAAAGGGAGATTGGTGGACAGAAAGGGTCTACCTTTTGTCACGGTTGCATGGTTACTCTAAAGGATTCACTGTAACTATGGACACAGAATACATCTTGCTCCAAGAGCTGTGTAAGCTGTTACAGATATAGGTTGGTAGTGAAAGCGAGGGGGGCAAAGCATCAAGTAGCCGACCTACAAAAATCAGCTTAGCAACAAGCGACGGCCTTCTAACTTAAAAGGATAAATTTCAACAAGCCATTATCCATCCTTGCGAGGTAATTATTTAGAAACTCCTTCGCTGGCAATCTGAAAAGGCCCATAACCAGCTTCACTTTCAGCTTGAAAGGTTTCTGAAAAGTTTGCCACCCATGCTGGGGGAATCTTTGCTGGTCAGCGGCCCGATTCTCTTCAGGGTCACCAGCTCTCGACATGGTTGTGATCTAGTCTATCCCTTTCTTGGCTGCTCGAGGAGGCAGAAAAAATCTGGCGCAGTGAGCTGCCGTCAGACCGCAGCTCACTGCTCAACATGTGCACTCTGTTATTTTCTACATGCAGCACTGACTCCAATAACAGGCTGGGAGTTTTTAACTGGCTAACTGAGCTCTGCACCCTGCTGGGCCACTTAACCCACTTGACCAAGAAAGTTAAGGCAATCTGTGCACATTAGGAGGGGCTTGTAGGGTGAAGGCAGGACAGCAGAGCATGGAACCATCATCCTGACGCACATCAGGACAATATTCAATCTTTTCATAACTTTCGAGAGGTATGAGCAATGCAAGGTAGTGTATGCATCATTAGATTTGAAACAGAATGTTCAAGCTGTCAATATGCCTTGCTACGAATGTGTCACTTGGTTTGAATACAGAAGCCGCATTGTATCACACTGAGAAGAGACATTCACCTGATCGCAGATTAGTTCCCATTTCTTCTCATTATCGTATTGTCGCAGCAGTCGAGCCTTGTCTGGAGGAAGATTCATTGAGTTCTGGAAGGGAGAAAAAGATCACAGTTAATTACCTCAATCTATTATTAATTATAGAGGCTGAATGAAAAGCGTGTTACCCTAGCTCAAAGACAGACTTGTGTTAACATGTTTATATCAAATGCATCTCCAGCATCCACAAGCTGCAACTCAAGAATGCAATGTGGGTTTTACGAAGTGCATTAAAAAACAAAAAATTGCAAAAGGAACTGTGTTGAATTGTGATAGTGGAGTTTAGAAAAGTACAACTAAAACAGCTAAACACAAGTAAAAACACTGGATATGAAACCAGGAATCAAGCACCATCTACAAACTGCAATGACCAGACGCTATGCTTGAGAATAACACCAAAATCAGCTCAAATCAACAGTTAAATTGGAAAAAAAAGCCTTTTTAATTTCTATTTTGGAATACGTTTGTTGTCATGTTACTTTGTTGATTGTTCTGAAGCCCTCGGTCCTCTGCCTATTTGGCTTGTTTTGAGTAGAATTAGACTGCAGCACAAAGTTTAATTTTCTGCTGTTTACGGGACATCACATCTGTGATTGCTACAATTTAAGGATAGTTTATTGGTCTCAAAGTTGGTATATATGAGAATTAGTCCAACCCAAACAATAACAGATTGTTTTTCCTAAAACAGTCAAATGGAGCAAAGCTGTACATGTACTGCCTGAACTGATGGAACCAAAATGATGTACACCTTAACTTTTATTACAACACCTGGCAGGCTACTCGGGTCATGGTACTGAGCTGTCCATGGAAGAACTGCTGTGCAGAGCAGAGCGAGATAATGTTTTGCCCCTCAAATTCTAGACCAGTTCCTTTAGGCGGGTAAATGAGGTAAATGCAATGTAGTATGTTCTGATATAGACGCAGTTCAAATATTATTAATCTATTCTTAAATATTTTTTGTAGTTAGCAACACTTGCCACACACTTCTAAATAAAAACTGTTCCCCTTTCTATACTGAACTGAAACATTAGACCTTCCTCTTCTTAAAATGGTAGTATTTAAAAATATATTTTCCTGTCCTTTAAAGAAGCTATATGACTTGAGTTAAAGACCAAAGAGAAAAATGTCAAGCAAAAGAAAAGAACATCTCTTGCTAATGAGATGGATGTAATAGTGATTAGGGGAGTAGATCTCCCCTTAGTATTCTGCTATTACCTGAGAGAAAGAGCATCGTATTTTACACTAATCACTATGATGATTATGAACACTAAGTCTTAATCTTTGAATGCATTTCATACAGAAGTTATGTTGTCAGTGTTACTAAAGAGAACTTTTTTTAAACAAATCCAATGCAACAAGTACTTGCTGAACAGCTACTAAAAATAACTGTTGCGTAACGTCTTAACGTTATTAAGATCTGCTTCCAGCAAGAACACCTCTGCAGCTTCACAGACTCATGCTTCCTCAAACACAACCCTCATGTGGATCAGAAAAGCTTAAAGAAATTTAACTCCTGCTTGAACCACCTCCAGCACAAACTGTATTTTTAAGAAACTTTTCCATCGCTAAGAGAAAAAGCGAATAAATCCTGCTTAGTTTATTTCTTGTTCTGGATCATTTTACAGAGAAAACGGATTAGGAATACCCTCAGATCAGACCCGTTTAACACAGGGAACACAAAGATGAAGTTGGACCCTAAAGGAAAAGTCTGAGCCCCAATTTGCTTTACAGATTTGTGAAGCTGTAATGTTTTATTTCTCTGCCTTGTATTTATGAAGTGGCAGTGTAATTGATCTTTACCAGCCATTTTCTTTTTGAAAAGGTGCATTTGAAAAGGAAATCAAATGCATAGAGCTACTAAGGAGGAATAAGGATTAGTCTGTTGTTGCATCTTAGCAACAGCAGAGGGGAAAATAAAAAAGACTAAACACTATTCCACATTATGTTCATGACATAAAAATGAAGTGCTTTGGAGAGTTATGAGGTAATCAGTTATTCCATTAGGTCCATTATGCTTTCCACTATCTTTTTGGTTGTATGTTAATAGATTCAAACCCCTTGCTTTAACATGAACAACTCTACACCCATAAAATGAACTCGTACAACTGGATGGAGTTGTATGAGTTCTTGCATCTTGAAACCATGGCAGAAAGTAACATGCAATAAATAACTAATGATACACACAGAAATGTCATATTGGATGGCATATAGGTCTATACTTTGTCTGGTAGTGTTTTCATAACTAGATCTAACTACCAGATCTTTTAGTCTCTTTAAAATCAGGTCACATCAGAAAAAACAGCAATGACTTGTGGTATTCCTCAGGGTTATGGCCTGGGGCCTTTTCCTTCCTGCTTTGTCTTGTTCCACTGGAACGAATTATCGAATGCTCTAATGTTGTCTGTTATTCCATCATCTCTATGCTGATGACATCCACTTCCACTTTACTTCATAAACTACCAGGTAGAAATCTACAAGTGGTTTAAATGATCATTTTCTTTAGCTAAAAACAAACAGGGACTTTGATCAACGCCCTTGCCAATGTGATTGATGTGATTATTCAACAGCTCAATATTACAATATAACAAGATTTCTGATGATCAAAACTCCTTGATCCTCAGAAAACAAGTTTTTGATGAATTAATATAACTTGAGTCAATTAGAAATTGAAACATTGTTAAAGAAATCTTTCTAAACTCAGAGTGCAGGTGCCCAAGGCTTCACTCAGTATAATAAATCATGTTTTTGCTTCAACCCGGCTGTACCACTGTACCATTTTAGAACTATTTCTGAAGGTTCAAAGTGCAGCTGCCAGAATTACAACTTGTAAATAAGCAGGTCAACATCACTCCAGTTTTGGCATTCTTGCACTGGTTCTCCATTAATTGTAGGACCAAAATTAAGGGCCTTAAATGGACAAGTCCCACAATAACCTTTTCTTCTTCTATGGTTTTTAGGCCATTAGGGCAAAGTTTGCTGATGGCCCCTGGGTATTGACCTTTCAAGTCAGCATTGAGAGTTTGCGGTGCACACATTTCAATGTTTGTGTTAAATAAACATTACTGACTCTTAAAAATGCAGATGGTGACAGTTTTATACAGCTAAGCATTCAGTTACATCAATAGCTAAAGTTTGCCTCCATTACATTTTGTTTATATTGCTAATTTATTAGTAAATATATCACTTTCTGTTATTTGGGTCACTTTAATTTGCAGTTTCCTTCATTGTTTTCCCTATCTTTTTATTTGGGTGCCCTCCACGTGAAGTGTTGGCCCTGGCTTCTGGGTGATTTGTCAATACACTTTGAGTGAGTTGAGCTGTGGGCTTCGTGCTTGGTGAGACTCCAACTAAAGCAAAGAACCATTTGTACCAGCTTTCATTTCAGCTCAGTGCTAACGAGCAGTGACAGCCACTCAGCTTACTCAGGTTGGGTTACCCCCATGTCTACAACCACACCACCCATGTCTCTGTTATTAATAAGGGGAGGGAGTAGAGCGGCGGAGGGCTCTTAAGGAGTAGCTTTTTATGAACACCTGATGGCAGACCACCCAGAAAAATACAGGTGGCATCACCTAAATTTGACCGATTAGCACATCGATCAAATTTACCGTTAAATTACTGTTAATCACACTTTAAGTACACTAATTAAAGCATGACTGTTCAATGAGTTAATTCTAACATATTTCCCAACTGCAATTTAAAACTTTGGTAGTGCTACATAAAAAATGTTGATAGATATTCACAAAGTGTGATTTACAATTTTTTTTACACAGTGTAAAAAAAAAAGTGTAAAAGTGTTTAAATAGAAATTATTTTATTGCACTAATTTAATCTAACTGAAAAACTTGGAAATCGTCTAGACCTGCAAAAAAAAAAAATGTTGTATCCTGAAAGGTGTGCAGTTAGTGAATGCAAACCCCTGCTATTCATGGAAGGCATGCATGTTGATATTTATAAGACACAAAATGGTTTCAAGAAAACAGTTGCATGCTTAAATTTACCCAGTTTCCAAATTAAGGAAAACAATGCTGGGCCCCAAGTTTATCACATTAACACACAGAGAAGGCAATAGTACGTGGGGTAAGAAGGAAACAAGGAGAACGTTAAAAGTCAATGAAAAACTGGTACCAATAAATGTGGAATACGCTGTAACAGTTTCCAGTAACAAGTCTCGACACTTCTTTTGAATATGAACATGAATATGAACTGCAGACTTCTGGAAATAGGTCTGCAACATGGTGTCATGTTAAAAACCAGTAAGACATAATTGTGCAGCAAGCTTGAGAGAGAAGCAACATACAGCACTGCAACTATAGCACTTGTATTCCTACATGTTTTGTCCCACTAACAGATGGGCTTGTTTTTTACAAAATGGGTCAATTAGTTTAAAAGGTGAGCAATTGGTACACAAGTTATGACAAAAATAGACCTGTATATAGCCTGAAGGGTATTTTTCAGCTATGCCTATGACTCATCTTGATTTTAACCCATAAAGTCTTAATTTCAAAACTAAGTAGAAAATAATGTTTACTAATCCTCTCATTAGCCAGATGCTGTCATAAAAGTAGCAAAAATAGACGGTTCAGAAAGCATTAGTTTCCATGAGGTCTACGCATGTTGATGCGTACAGCTGGCTAGAAAAGCAAACACATAGCCCACATGAAGGGCCAAATTCAGCTAGCAACAGCGTGAAAAGATACAAAGCAAGAAGAAATCCTCTTTGATGGTGGTGGACCCATCAATAAAGTGTTTTACATGGCAAGATGTTCAAACAGACCCCTTTGTGCCAGAACTGATGGAAGAGCTTGTTAGATCAAAAAATAACTCTAGACCAAATATTGAAAAAGCAATATGGCCCCAGCTGCAGCTCAGAAGAGGCCTTTAAACATGTCACCAAGGACTTCCAAAAGCAAATGACTTGCATGCTTTCAAGTCGTGTAGAAGAAAACTACTTAGTGTGGGCAGAGTCAGAAGTCTTTAAAGTTATGTGACATATTGTTTGTAGGAGTATTATTATGAAAATGGGGTCAAAAATTGTCAATTATCCTGCC